TATGATAGGTTGCCTAGCATGTGCAAGGCCCTGGTCAATACACAGTTAATATAAAACCGAACAGAACACAAGCGAAAAACTCCATTCATCAAGTGTCTCACGCCAAAAATTTAGGGATAATCTTCAACTTGTCCCCTTTTCCTCTTTTATAACCAAATGGATGGCTATGCTGTGTTGATTTCCCACCTTTCCCCAGCCCTTAGTTGGGACTCTTGTGTTCTTTCTCATGGAGACCACAATTTCTCCTGCCCCATTGGTCCAATTCAGTCCCACACCTTCCCAAATCTGTGCTCTGTACTGCAGCCAGATGATCTTCCCAAGACACAAATCTGATAATTTCATGACTCTGCTTAAATCTACCCACTGCTTCTCAGTGCTTCCAGTATTACATGTACCTTACAATGGCATTGAAAGCTGATAATGATTTCCCCAAATCTACCTTTCAATTCAATTTCTCAAACTAGTTTTGCATTTCCCAGACACCCATAGTGTTTTGGATTCTGTACTTCTATTCCTGCTGCCTCTGTTGCCTGAAATGTCCTCAGTTCTACGTCTCTCCTTGACACTTAGGCAAACACCTATTCATTGTCAAAGCACAAATATTACCTCTACTGTGAAGTTATTCCTGACAGTGATCCCCCTGCTGTATTGTTGATCACTGCCTCTTTTTTTCTCTTACTTCTCTGTGACAGATGATTTTCTATCACAGCAAAGATGAATAATATGTGATTCCTGGTCTCAAAAAGCTTACAAACATCATTCAACCAGAAATCTTATTATGTAACGACAAATAGGAAAAGGAATTATGAAGCACAAAATCATGAGTTGTAAATAACTGCAACATTGAGCTCAGTGGTCCCTTCTCTAAAGGCTTCTATGCTGTATTCTACTGCAGTGTGTGTGTGTGTGTGTGTGTGTGTGTTGCTGTTGTTATTATATAAGTATAGCTACAAAACTCATTTCACAAAAACTCTGATATAGACACAATTATTATGCTGTTCATAAATGAGAAAATTAAAGCATGAAGGGTCTAAGTAATTTGCCCATATGACTCCACTAAAAATACCAGATTCAAGACTCCTCTCCAGCCTGTTTTGTTTCACTTTTACCTACATATCTAGGGTGCTGCCCTTCTAGAATAGCATCAGTGGAGGTGGTAGAGGTATTCGTATTAAAAAGATAATCCAGAATTCTCTCCTTAAGTCTAGAATGTCTACTTTAAAATTTAATTTCATGTCACTAATACTTACAGGGTAAAGGTCCCAAATTGCCAACTTCTTTGGAGCTTTTCTGCACTCTCCATCCCTGAGGGACTTGACATCCAGATTGTAACTGGAGACCAGAAGCCCCAATAAAGAGAGCTCTCACCTCTTTCTTATTTTTCTTGCTTACATCTGGCATTTTCTCTGAGAAATATGCAATTCTCCTTCAACATCAAATCTCATCTTGAATCTGATGAATTCAGCCATTATCCCAATTTTAGAGACACAAATTTCTAATATTAAAAAGCAACAATTGGGGCTAGGGTTGTGGCTCACTGGCGGAGTACTTGCCTGACACATGTGAAGCACTAGGTTCAATGCTCAGCACCACATAAAAAATAAAATAAAGTTCTAAAAAATAAAAAGCAACAATTAAAAAATACAATTCAAAATGAGGAATTTTTATTTTCCATCCCAATACTGACCAGCTGTCTTGCACTATGGACAGCAAAAAGAAAATAAATATTCAGCTTGAGGAGTCTGGGCCAAGGACAATTTCCTAGTAGTCAGTGGTTTTGAGATGTCAGATGATGTTTCCCAGGGAAGTCATGGAATCTCCTTCCATGGATATCCTTAGCTAAGATATTTTAAGACATTGTGCTTAGTCTTGGATTGAGTATTCATTGATATGAACAGCTGCAGGGTGTCAGATGGCATGCAATTTGTGAAGACCATTAATTGGGACACTAATTGTAGTAATTGGACAAAAGTAGAAAAAGTTTGCTCCATGTTTCCAAAAGAGAAGAGTACTTGTTAAATTAATTATACTTATGATTGTGGGGAAAATGCTCAAATTACCTAATAGTACTCTTTTCAAATATCTTATAAAAATATAATTGCCAATGATTGTTTTCCTAGGTATTACCCAACTGATTTAGGAACATGTCCACAGAAAAACCCTGCACACAAATCCTTTAAAGCAGATTACTCGTAATCATCAAAAATTGGAAGAAAGCAAAGTATTCAGTTTGTACATTAAAATACTATTCAGAGGTTAAAAAATACAGGAATGAGCTATCAAATCACATACACAAGAATGAAGGCTAAATGAAAGAAATCAGTCTGAAAATGGTACTTATTATATAGTGCCATTTCTATGACATTCTGGAAAAGTTGAAACCATAGAGATGGTAAACAGATCAGTGGTTGTTAGGCATTTGAAGAGGTGAGAGGGTTTAGTACATGAAGCATAATGGACTTTTTTTTTTCAGAGTGGAAAAAACATTCCATAAGTATATGGAATGAAGTATACATGACAACATGTCATTTACATATGAATAATGTTATGTACATATACACACAACACGATATATGCATTTGTCAAAACTCCTAGAATTTTACAGCACAAAGAGAACTTTAATAGATGAAGATTTTTAAAGAAATCATAGGAGCTCAAAGAATCCCAGGATAGAATGCAGACTAATATAAAGCAAAACACTTTATATTACAAACGTATAAAATAACCTCATTGAAAAAGGTGGGATTGCTGACCTGAATAAATATGGAAATGAGTGGAGTCTGTTAAGACAAAAGGCAAAAAAGTATACATAAGTATTGGACTCTAGCTGTTAAATCTGTTTCCCATAGGCATACCTGGTAACAATTCTGAACCCACTATACGTGTACATGGAGAGTTAACAGTTCTGAACTCACTATACATGTAAACAGGAATTGAACAATTAATTAAATAGATGACAGACAATGAGAGCCGAGTTTCTCACACTGGAGTGCAAAGTTACAGATGAGCAGAGGGAGGAGACGAGCATGATCCATGTGGTGCTGGATTAAAGCTGGAGATATCAGCATGAACTCTTGTTTAGCTGACAAAGAAACAGATGGATACATATATAATTGTTTATAGATACCTGCATTTACTCAGGTTAATTTACATACATATATCTCCTTGCTCTGCAACTGAAAAGGCCTAGAAGCAACAATATTCAAAATGTCCAACTCTTGATTTCTAATGTCATTTTCCATTAAAGGGCCCATGGCTCCTTGGGAAAGTGATGATTCTAGGATTAGATCAGGGGAACATACTAGATGATCCTGGAGCATCTTGTAGTGCCAGAAACTAAGGAAGTGTTCATGGAAAACAAAACACAAAAAAACTTCAAGGGTATGTCAAAAAGGCAGAGGTGTCAACTAAAAGAAATTCCAATGATCAAAACAGGAAAAACAACAAAATACTATTGGATCACAACCCCAAATGTAAAACATCCATAACTACATTCTAATATGAATGGCTGAATACACAAACAAATGGGGCAGAACAGAAGATCTTCCATGCAGAAGAACTGCAAATAATTTATGAAGATAGTTTACTATTAAAGAGATGAAGCACAACTTCTCACTCCTACAATTTGAGCTGCACATAGTGACATGCTTCCAAAGGAAAAGAATAACTTCACAGTTGAAAAATCTGGCAAACACTACCTTAGCAAGGTGATAAAGATTAGCATCAATAGTGAAAAATCATATGTACTCTTGATGTGATGTGTTAAGGAGGGTACTTTACCTCTTTATCCCCCAAGTCCTATAACTCCAATCAATACATAAGAAAAAACATCAGGCAAACTCCAACTGTGGGATATTCAACAAAATGTCTTATGGAGAATGAAGGGAAGGGAGGGAGGATGAGAAAAGGAAAGACAATGGATATAACTTTCCTATGTACATATACCACAGTGAATCTCACAATCGGGTACACCCATAAGAAATTAATTTTAAAAAATAACTATGGGTAAATGGCAGAAAGATCAATCAAGGGAAAGGAGCAGGGGGTGGGGAGTAGAAAGGAAAAGGAGAGGTGCTGGATTAAGAATTAGAACAAGATATTTTCCATGCTTGTACAAGTACGTCAAAATGGATTCTACTATCATGTATTATAAAAAAAAAAAAGTGCTTTGTTAGTATGCCTCAAAACTATCAAGGTTACAAAAGCAAACCAACTCTGTGAAACTGTCACTGCCTGGAAGAGTCTGAGGAGACACGGTGACTAAATGTGATGTGGTACTCAGAATTCTGATACACAAACAGACAATAAGTCAAAAATTAAGAAATATGAAAAAAAATTTGTGCTTTAGTTACTATTTTTAAAAAATGCATTAACATAAATTAAAAGGATATGCTATTTATAAATAAATCATTGGATACGTATTTACCGAGCCTGTAGTGAAAGTGGCACTGTAGTAGAAGTGGGGAAATAAAAAGAAAAAGTGCCCTGTGCTTAAAAGAAAAATATTCGTGAAAAATACATAATTATACAAAGAACAGAAGACTGTATATTCTGGAGTCAGTAAGAAAAGCTGAGAGTGGGAGGAATCTATCAAATAAAACAAAAATCAATGAACGAAGGGAAAACTCCGGCCTAACACTGCCTGGAGCCCTCCTTGCTAACTCCCAGCTGACACCTCCCGGCTTTGGTCCACCCTTGTTGTCAGCCCAGGCTCAGCCAATCGAAGGTCGGCTCTGGTAGGCCTACGTGACACGCGTGCGCATCATCGGTTCGACGATCCTTTGCATCGATGCACTTGGAAGCAACTTAGTTGGCCTGGTCGTGACCAAAGTAGCCGCTACCCTCATCGCCTTCGCCGCAGCCATTTTGACGGTGCGAAGAGTCAGAATCTGGGACCGCTGGAGGCGGGTGGTGATTGGTACGGATGGTTTCCGCCCGCCTTAGCCCCTCCAAACTCGCCAATCTTGGGCCCAGACTTCTCGGTATTGCCCTGATTACGGAGATCCCCTGTCTTCCTATCACCGCCCCTTCCTCTTCCGCGCAGCCCGAGCCTCCTTTCGGAGCTGTTGCCAAACAGCCCTGATCCGTGTTAAAACATCTGCGTGGACCCCGGCGCTCTGAAGGCTGGCCGTCCCACCTCCCCGGGTCGGGTGGGTTTTCCGCCGGCACACGTGTGCCCGGGGACACTCGGAGCCGCCACCTCCTGGGGTCGGCGGGGGGAGTCTGGCCTCGGGGGTGAGGGGCAGCTCGGAGGTCATCCTGCCGAGGGGGAGGGACTCAGCACGCTATAGGGGACGTTCCGGAGCGGTCCCTCAGAGTTCTGTCTGTCACTAGCCTGTTTTGTTTTGTCCTTTCCCAGGAATACTTTGCGAAGGAGAAGATTTTGTGTCTTTCTTCTCCACTGGAAATGGCCAATGTGAGTAGTCTTAAAAGTCAGTTGAACTTGTTAGGAATCAGACGGATTTCATTATGAGGGCTTTGACGTCATGATGTTAGTGTATCAAAAATGTCAGGAGAAGCAAGGGGCTATGAAATTATGTTGTGATCCTTTTAAGGTAGTTTGAACACAAATATTCTTTTAATATGCATGTACTTATCTCTCCAATTTTATTTTTCTAGACAGAAAATTTTAAAACCCAATATTTTAAAGACATTATTCCAGTAAGTATTTAGAATTTATATAAAGCCCCTTTTTATTTCTGGTTAGCAAAACTGAAGGATTTGTAGCCGTTGCAATATAGGAAGTGGCCTTCCAGATTCTACAAAATGAAATCAAAAGGTATTCATTCACATCAGCATTGACTCTTAAGTACCCTGTGATTAATTATACACATCCAAGAATGAGGGTGTATTTCAGTGAGGGAGTGCTTGCCTAGTCTGTGAAAAAAGAAAAAGAAAAAAAGTTATACACATCCTACTTTACCTTAGAGAATTCATATAATATGGACATAAGACATATGAAAACAGCTACAATAAAAGTAGTACATAATCTTTTTTTAAAACTTTGAAAAGGTACAATGCACATTCAGAGTTTTGTGCAGAAGGAAAAGTAGGGTTTGGAGACTACTGTGAAAAGCATTTGAGATTTGAAAACTGAATAAAATCTGATAATTAAGATATGGGTGGGAAGAACGGAAGTTGTTCAAAGAACACTACTCATTGCTCCTTTCAAAAATTAAATCATTTCCACCTGCTGATCACTAGAAGGTAAGGTTGAATTCTGAGGTTGGGACCAAATAGTAGGGAACCCTGAATGAAGCCATATTCCGTAAATTGTGGTGACTTAATCAGACCTGAATGTTAGAAAGATGGATGGGCAACAGCAGAGATATTATTCTTGCAATTAGTAAGTGCAAATGTGTGGCTACACAGTCAAATCATAAGAGTAGTCTAACAATTTGGGCTTAATTTTAACATGAATTTTTGCCTACCCATAATCTGTACAGAACGGAACGTTGTAAAAGGTGTATATGGTACTTTGAAAAGAGGGAAATTAATGTAAGTATAATATTAATATCTGACCTTTATTTTGGCTTACATGAATATAAATTAGTTCAGTAGGGCAAATAGTTTAGGTTATTTTTTAGAATGAAATTTATACTAAAAAATTTTAGTATTTAAATTGTTTAAAATTTTTGTATTAATTTATATGCATTGTAAACTCTGAATGGATGTTAGTAATGAAATATGCATGTCTTTGACAGTTTAGTTAACATTCCAATTGAGAGTTATATCAATGCTTCAGAGTCTAGCAAACTGATATTATAACTCTTTTTAAAATATACCTTTTGTGATGTTATGCTTTTTATCTAAAAAATTACAGATTTTATTAAAATTTCATATATGGTAGGATACTTGTTGAAGAAATACATACCTGCTTTTCATAAAAATAGAGCAGTCCTGAATTCACGTAGCCCAATGGCATTAGTTAGCAACAAATTGCTATAGCTACCAGAAGGCTGCTTCTTTATATCAGAAAGGCATATTTCAAGTTTGTCTAGTTTCTGAAGCATGGACATTTTGACGCTTAATATGTATGCTAACTGATTTCCATTAAACTAAGAATTTTTAGTGATGGGTTTTTTACTATTAAAGGGCCAAATCATATATATTTTAAGTTTTGTGGGCCGTATACTCTTGGTTACAGCTACTTCACTCTGCCATTATGGTGCAAAAGCAGTTAGACACAATGAATAAGTGAATGGGTATGTATGTATTAAAATAAAACTTTGTTTACCAAAGCAATAGGCTGTACTTGTGAATAATTTGCCAACTCTTGCATTAATTCATTGTGACTCAGATATTTTTGCTAAAAGTGTATGCATAGAAGATATTTATATATTCACCCATTATATCTGATTTCAATGTCTAGGAAATGAATATAAGATCAGAAAATGTACCGCAAAGATTTATGCTAAAATGAAGGAAATTGGACATTGCCATCCAATCAAAAGAGACTGGCTTGGGCAATAATTACCACTATTTATTTATTTATTTACTTACTTACTTACTTATTTATATATTTTGGTACCTAGGTTTGAACCCAGGGGCACTTAACCAATGAGCACCTCCTCAGCCCTTTTTCATTTTTTATTTTGAGATGGGGCCTTGCTAAGTTGCTAGCTTTGAACTTGCAGTCCTTCTGCCTCAGCCTCCCAAGCCGTTGGGATTACAGGTGTGTGCTGCTGTGCCTGACAATTACCACAATTTATAAAATAAGAATACTATTAGAAAGGAAACAGATTTTGGTCCAAGGAGAGGTTTGGAAATTTCTGTATCTTAAGGATATAAGAATCTTACTTTTGCCACCTTTGTAGTGTTGTCTTTAAATGAAGTATCTTTTATGAGTTTCCTTTCTTTCATGACACAATTGAATTCTGGCCTTTATTGGAAAAGACATATACTTTTCTTTGAATTATTACTTGTTTTTTTTTTTTTGTCTTAATATTTGTATTGTCAACCTAAAATGAATGGGATATACAAAGGCTTTCCAAAGAAAAATAGTTTATTTTATTTGGGAGTAAGAAAGTGATTGAAATCCAGAACACACATACCTTGACAGACAGTGGGAATACACAGAAAGACAAGGGTTTTTAAAAGTAAAATGAGGAAGGTTCCATAGTTATTTTCAAATAATTATCCTTGGTCACAAGGATCAGTAACAGAGGTACTAAGTCCAAGTTTGAATGGGTGGGCAGTTGTTGAGTAGACAATATTATAAAGTTTTTTATATACAAGCTGTGGTAGCCTTGTGTCGATTGTGGTTTGGGCAATCTTTTGTGATGGTTTCTGTTATCAGGCATACATGCGTGAAGATGCCCTCCCCTCCCCAACCAGGGTTTTTCTGTCTTCATTTTATTAGAGTTCAACATAAATGACAGCTTTGATTCTGACAACTGACAGTATTTTATTTTTTAAATTATATATGTATTTTAATGCTTGTTTCATAGTAGGTTTCAACAGAAGTGGAATAAATTTTGGCTTTAAAAGATGTATTGCAGTATGAAAACTTGGCAGAAATTATAACATTTATATCTAGAATAAATAGTCCTATTTTTCCTGCCATCTTAGGTGCTCTGTAACAGAGCCAGACTGGTTTCCTATCTCCCGGGATTTTGCTCTTTAGTTAAAAGAGTTGTCAATCCAAAAGCCTTTTCAACTGCAGGATCGTCAGGTTCAGATGAATCTCATGTGGCCACTGCCCCTCCAGATATATGTAAGTAGATGTTATTTTTGCTTCACTTATAATCATTTCAAAATATTTGAGTTGCATTTCCTCTAATATTTCTTCTTCTGATTTAGGAAGCTGTGTTTATTCCATTTAAAATAAGTCAGAGCTCTGGCTAAATATTTATTATCCAGAAAGATACAATATTAAAGAATGAATATAGATGCTCCTTATCTTATGGTGCGATTAAATCCCAGTTAACCCTGCAAAAATTGAAGACATGAGAGGTCAAAAATGCATTTAATATACCTTTTAGAATACAGAGTGTTGTAGGGTATGGGATATTTGCAGTGATCACGTGGGCTTAACTAGAAACTGTGTCTCACTGTCCAGCATTGAGAGAGATTATGGTAAAGCATGTTTCTAGGAAAAAGTTTGGTGCATATTCAGCAAAGGAAACAAATTAGAAATGTGAAGCGAGAACCTACAGAATGGCAGAAAATCTTTGCTAACTACTCTTCTGATAAAGGATTAATATGTTTAATATATAAAGAACTCAAAAAAGTAACACCAGAAAATCAAATATTTCAATAAATAAATGGGCAAATGAATTAAACAGATACTTGACAAAAGAAGAAATACAGATGACCACCAGATATGTGAAAAAATGTTCAATACCATTAGCAGTTAGGGAAATGCAAACCAAAACTACAATGAGATATCCTCTCACACCAGTCGGATTCTTTTAATATAGCTGACTTCTTGTAAAGTGTATATTCAATCAGTAATTTATGCTGTCTACAAAGTCTGCTGCTTCTATTTTGCACACCACTAAAATATTTTAATCATGTTGCTCTCATGATAAGCCATGATTAACTCTTATTACTCTCAGCTAGAGTTCCCAGACTGTAAGAGTTCAAGTTTTTTTGAAAAAAGTGTTCTGTTATTAAGTAAGTTTGAGAAAAATGCCATATACATGCCTTATTTGTGTTTTGAAAGTTTATAATGCACACTTAACCTATTGTGTGCTGAAAGTATTATTCATGGAATTCTTCTTTTCTTGAAACATGTGGTGAGTGTAATGTAATTTAAGTTCATTTGGGTCTTCAAAGCCTTCCATCCTGCATTGCTTTTCCTTTGTAACTTCATCTTTGACTATTACCCAGTTTATATTACTGGAAAACTTAACTGTGTGTGTATTACAAATGAAATATTTGTCATTCAGATTATATAAGCGGCTGGTATCCTGAAAAATTTTCCCCTAGATTAATAGAAAAAAATACAACCCAGTAGAAAAAACAAAAATAAAACAGGATAATCAAAACAGGCCTTTCTCAGAAGAGAAATCCTAAGTGATCAGTAAACATTAAAATATGCTCAAATCCTATTAATATAGAACATTTATTTTTTCTGAAGAGAATTTGACACTGGTAGACCTGATTGTTCTTTAAAACCAATCACATTCAAAACTTTATCTTAGGAACTAACCAGTCAATTACTAGTGGCTATCTACAGCCTTCTTACTTACAAGTAATTAGAAACCATACAAGTATCTGTTATTGCAGTATTTGTAGTCTGTATTAATTCAGGTAGCTGATAAACAGAATTATGTTACATAATGCTCAATTTTTTTGCCCCAGTCCATTAGTGTTTTGTGCCACTTAGTAATGGCAGCTGAATGCCCCTTCCTAAGGAAGACCATTTTTAAGTTTGGTGTCCTTCCTTTTAGGTCTTTTTCTCATTGTTTAAAAATAGGAATATAAGGAAGTCAAATAAATACTGTTATTAATGCTATCCTTTGACTTAGCTTTTCTTTTAAAGATATATGTCCTGGACATCATTCTGTGTTGGTACATGAAAGTTTACTTGTATTCTTTTTAATGACTATCAAATATCTCATGTATTAATTAGAGTACTTTATTGAATTTTTCCCCTAATAATGGAGTTGCCTGTGAGCCGTCAGCTAGTTACTTTAATTTGTATAAACCACATGAAACTAATTTATGTTCATACAAGAAAGCAGATTTCAGATATCTATTTGTAGGCAAAAAAATACAATAGTAAGAACATTCTTTCAGTATGCAAATGTTCTTGACTGCTAAGAAGGAAATTATGTGTTTTGTTTCTCCTCTTCAGGCTCTAGAACAGTGTGGCCTGATGAAACTATGGGACCATTTGGACCTCAGGATCAGAGATTCCAGCTTCCTGGGAACATAGGTTTTGATTGTCACCTCAATGGGACTGCATCACAGAAGAAAAACCAGGTTCATAAAACTTTGCCTGATGTTCTGGCAGAACCTTTATCAACTGAAAGACATGAATTTGTGATGGCACAGTATGTGAATGAATTTCAGGTAAATTGCTAATATCATTGTTTTTCTAATTATTAATGCAATACTTTTTCTTAATCTGAGCATGTCACTTTTACATTGAAAAGTTTTTTTAAAAAAACTTGATCCTAGGATCCTAGTATATATAATAACAACATAAACAGTCCTTAAAAAAAAGCAAAAAAAAAAAAAAAACTTGACATTGTCCAAGCTATACAGTGTTTGCAGTATAATTTTTTATATAATTTTAGGTTACAATCTGTTGTAGGTAATTAAGTCTTCAAAAATATGCTTTTTAATAACTATTTCCAATATAGATGATTTAATTATGTCTTTGTCACTGAAAATTTAGGTTACCTGTTTTTCACTTTTTAAAAATGGCAATTATAATCTGAGTATGCACTTAATTCTAACCAACTTAATACTTCACTAGCCACTCTTAAAAGCTAAAGAAAATTTTGAGGTCTCTGAAATTGTTTACAGTATGTTAAAAAGAAAGGATTCTATGTTTGTGTGTGTGTGTGTGTGTGTGTGTGTTTTAAATGATTTCTGAGGGTTTTTGAGTTTGTTGTTGTTTTTAGTTTTGTTGAAATACTTTAAACTGACATTGCATCATTGCTCATTCAAGGAAAAGTAACATGCAGTTCAGAATTTTGGTCAAGCCCCTAACACTTTATCTTTTTTCACATTTCTGCATCATTTCAGGCAGAGTGCTTGACCAAATCTGTATTATCAGGAACAGCCTTCCCTGTCATATGTTATTATAAGTTATATATCAGATGACCTGACATTGGGACACGGTTGACCTCCCCTACCCTTGTATCTCAGATAATTCCTTCTCAGTCTTCTTGGTTCTTCTTTCCTCCTCTGCCTACTAATTAAGTGATTTTTTTCCTACATAGTTGCTTCATCCTCATTTAAATTATTCCTTGTTCACATAATCCCTTGGCTTTCTCCACAGGCTAGGTTTTTATAATCCCTAACTCACGATTTCTATTTCTCACATTTCTGGCTCTACATTTTCATTTATCTACCAAACATCCCAGATTTTGCATGGTGAATGAGAAAGGCATATTTTATTTTAAATGAAAGTATATCGTAGTTGACATACAGAGAAAGAGGAAGTAGTGGGAAATAAGAAGGAAAAGGTAAGATGTCAAAATTGTAAAAGGTCATTCAAGCTACATTAAGAAATGAAGAAGTCCACCAATACTATTAATAGTATAACCATATTTCCTTTGTATCAAGATAAAAATCACAGCACTAAACTTGACTCCCCTTCTCAGTCATATCTCCACAGTGTCAAAATCACTTCTTTCTGTGAAGTTGTTCTTTCCAGTTTTCTGCTCAGAGCCTGTCTTGCCTCTAAAAATCTAGATTAGATAAATCTGGGTTTATAAGTTGACTTTACCACTTAATTTTTTGACATTGAGAAAGTTACTTAATCTCTCTGAGCCTTTGGTTCTTTATGTGGAAAAAAAGGGAGGGACAATAATAATCTTCAGTCCACAAGGTTGCAGTGAGAATTAAATTTGAAAATGTACTTAAAGCACAAAAATCCACTAAGGGATCAGTGAATGTTGATTGTTAACTGATCTTTTACCTGTTCCTCATTACCATACATTTTCCACATTAATACTAGTTTTTTATATTTGATATTACTACTACTTGTTGCATATAGACAAAAGTCAAAATTTCTTAATGTAGCGTAAAAGACCTTTCACAATTTTGATTTCTTTCCCATCTTATTTCCCACCACTTCTCTCTTTTTTTTTTTTTTTTAACATATCATTGTCTTTCACCATTGTATACTGTTATATATAATTATCTCTGCTGGACTGTTTTTCCTTCTAATTTTCTAACCTATGCTCTACCTGTTCCTTACTTACTAAACACACAGTAGTTAATATGTACCTCAAAAATGACAATTTCAATCTTTATCTGATTTCTCTTTCTCTTACTAGGTTTGATATGTCAAAGAAGACTGGATTTATTTTATTTTTTTTTAATAACCTTTATAGTGCCTGCTCCTGTTAAAGTGTTAGACATATTCAGTTTAATAAAGACCTCTAAGCCCTACCTGTGGGAGGGGCTGTATTATTTAATCATGTTACTTTTAAGTTAGTGTTCTTATCCCAATTTTGTAGATTATTGAACAAAATAATATATAATTAGATATAATCACAAAATACCAGAATACATAACATTTTAAGGTATAAACATGGCATTTTAGTTTTTCATCCAAATTCTCTTCATATCGTATCCTAGAATATCAGCAGCATATTTTTGTTGTATTTTATTCAGAATTTCAAAGGTTCAGATCATCGATTCATCTTGGAGAAAAGTTTTTTGAGTATATAAGAAATTATTACCAGTTAAGTGTGGTAGCCCAGCCTGTCATCCCAACTATAGGGAAGGTTGAGGCAAGAGGATAACTTAGTTTGAGGCCAGGCTGGGCAGCTTAGCAAGACCCTGTCTTACCGTAGGTGGTAGAAGGCCCACCCCTAGGTTCTATCTGTATTATCCTCCCACCCCCCAAAAATACCTTCTAATAAGAATTATTTTAAAAATTTTTCTAACCAGATGAGTTCTTAACAGATATATTATTGTATTTGAACTTCAGATTTTACTTATAATCCTTGGTCCCCATAGGGTAATGATGGACCGGTTGAACAAGAAATTAACAGTGCAGAAACTTATTTTGAAAGTGCCAGAGTGGAGTGTGCAATCCAGACATGTCCAGAATTGCTTCAAAGAGGTATGTCACACCTCATATATTGAAACACTAACACGTTTAAGGTAATATTACTGATTTTGTTATGCATTGAGTAATGTACTCCAAAGGAACTATAATGCTCTGTGTCTTAATATTAGTGTGTCTGACTGGAAATGATTGCATGTCTAAGATAAAGGCTTTCAAATGTCCTCCAAAATCAGATCTCATGCTTTTTACCTAAAACTTGTCATTTATACTCCTGCATGATTATTAGATCTATAATTTCATGAACTAATGTATAATGGAGACAAATCTAAATAACAAATTTATTTGAAAATTTTTATTAACAGCAATAGCATGTAATTCTACTTATCCTCCAGAATTGTTGCCAGTAATGTTTCAACTCGTCCAACAAAAATAGAAGTGAACTAAGATAAGTTCACTTTATTCTTTTAAAAAATAAAGTGTATTTGTAATAACTTAGTAAAAATAATTTAACTTAAGCATAATTTTTCTAAGGAAGTGTTATTTTTATGAACTACATCTTTTTTTAAAGCAAATTATTTTCTTCTTGGATTTTTATTCTTATTTATAGATTTTGAGTCACTATTTCCAGAAGTAGCTAATAGCAAACTAATGATTCTGACTGTAACGCAGAAAACTAAGAATGATATGACTGTTTGGAGTGAAGAGGTAGAACTTGAAAGAGAAATGCTCTTAGAAAAGGTAATTTTCTTAATTACTAACAATTTAATTTCATGGTCCAACTTAAATACCATTAAAATGGTGTATTAAAATGTCTTTTCCAGTCTTTGTTCATTCTCTGAAACATTTCAATACTAAACATCTTTTTCTAAGAACTAAAAAGCTGCAATTTTTTTTGTCATTAGTATTTTTAAAAAACTTAGATTCTGTTCAATACTTTCCTTAATTTTTCTAAAATTTAAATCTGTTTTAGGAAATTTGGAAAAAGTAGTGCAAAACAACTTTTTTGAAACTCTTTATATACTCTTTTTCTTTTTGCCCCTTCCTTCCATCTGCTCCCATTCTCCACTGTAAGGCATGTCAAGTAAATAGTGAAAATTACCCCAACAATCTCCAAGAATAGTACCAATAAACAGTAAAATAGCACAATAAATACTGTATACAAATACAACATTTTTTTTTCACCTTAGCTTTTAACCTAATAACTTCCCATACCATTATATGTAGATATAGCTCATTTTTGGTAGAATCTTTATAGTATTTCATTATACAAGTAAACCATAAGTTTTTTAAAATTATTCTAAAATTTCCTGTGTGATTTAGATGAAAATCAAACTTTTGCTATTACCAGCAACACACCAGTGAAAAATCTATTACATATATTTTAATGAATCTAATATCCATAAATTTCTAAATAGATGATTCCTGAATTAAGAGGCATTTACATTTTAAATTTTGGTAAATAATGTCAATTTGCCCACCAAAACCATTGTCCTAGTTTATATGCTGTCACTCTAGCTTAACCTGGACCGTAGCATTTTTTTTTATCAGTCCAGGAGGTGATGAATTATGACTTCAAGTCTAGTAATTTAAAACTGTACAGTTATTTGTCTTAAGAGTTTGATATTGAATTTTATCATTTCTTCTACAAGATAGATAAGAATATTCCTCTGCTTGTATGACAAGTTAAGAATAACTCACTTGCTCACTTTAGCTAATGAGTTTAAAAATCTTTACCAACTCCCATGCTTGATGTCAGGAATTATTTTTTCTTTAGGGTTGGATGTATGGCTCTTTTCATTTATAATAATATATTACTATTTACATATTCAACAGTATTTTATGATAATAACTATATACTTAAATGTCCCACATGGAACCTTCTAATAAATTTCATTTAATCTTTAACAATTTTGAATATACTAATCATGTATTAATTAACAAAGGAGGTTATAGGAGAGGCACAAGGCATTGCCTCTGATTTTAAGAAGATGTGAATTTAGATGGAGTTTAAAAGGCAATAACTAGCAATAATATTTATTTACATATTAAGATAATGCTTCATAAATATGTACTTATCATCGCTGTTACTGAGCTGTTAGAGATCTCTTACAAGTGCATTGCATTAGTAGTCCCAATTTTGGAACAGTTAAAAGTTGTAGACCTAATTTGATACTGACTCCAGTATAGTTCTAAATTGGTTTTCTATAATAAATTGCAGGGCTTTGAAATGGCAACCTGCTTCATCTTGAAATTTAAATTTATGACTGAAAACCATCTCGTTTTCTACGAAAGAAACAGATAATTTTGATTGATATATGTTAGTGACTATTTTGGAACCACACCTTGCTTACTCTCCAAGTAGATATTTTATGGTTTAAACTTGTTCTTATTTTTTCCAGAAGATATCACTGTTTGCTGTTGATGAACAGAAATGTTAAGAGAAAAACTGATTCTTTTGATAATGTGGAATTCTCTTTTTAATCCTTGTAAATATTTGATTGCATTGTTTTACTCAACCTTTGTAGTTTTTAGTCATGGCACATTCATTAAATTGAAATGTATTCTAATGACTTTTTAAGAATTTTGAAGGTTAATGGACTGTATCAATAAATTTAAGTATGGAAAATAATCTAGAGAATATAATGTTACTTTAATGTTTGTCATTATTTTACAAGTAGGTATTGGTGGGAAAATAAGTGATATACCTCTATAGCAGAGGGCAACAAAATTTGGGGTTGTCAAAAAACAAAATTATAACTAACTTAGTTTTCTAAAAAAGAAAAACTTTTGACATAAATTTAACAGTTAACTTAAGCAAAGAAGATGTAGGAATAGTGCAGCCCTCTGAATTAGAAGGTCAGAAAACTTCACTCTGCCATGCAAGCAAGGTGTATTTATAGACAGAAAATAGAAGTGAGATCCAAATACAGCTTATGACAGCTCTGAATCGTATTTGAACATGATTGGCAACCTGCGATTGGCTGATACTCAGCTGTTTGTTACCAAGTAAACTTCTAACTTGGTAGTTCAGTTTATTTTTGTACCAAATTGATTTTAGGACGTTAATTGGAACTTAAGGCATGGAGACAGCCTCAACCAAATTTAACAGTTTAAAGATCTAATTGGCTTTCTTATTCTATAAAATAGAACAAGGCTTCCAATGATCTGAGCAGAGAAGGTTGGCTCTGTCAACAGAAAAGGACTAAGAATGAGAGAAGCAGCTTGGTCCTTTCATAGTTATTTTCCCCGTAGGGTTAAGACAGGGGACTGTCTTATGCTGGCTCCTATAAATGAGGTCTCTTAAGATTGGTGGTTGTGTAGCTCCTGGCTTATTTTTTGTTTGTTTGTTTTGAAAACTAGCCTGTCTTAAAGTTAGTTTAATAACATGTGGCCCCTGGCCTGAATAACTCCATTCTGGTTTGGTCTGATCTGGTGTAGTACCAAAGCAACTTTTTTTAAAAAAGTTTCTGTTTGACATATTCTAATTCTAAGCATCACTATTCTTGCACTTTGGGGACATGTTTAAGTAAAGTAACAGTTACTTGTATACGATCACTTGTGATACCTTGTGATATCAAGACAGGTATTCAGTTAATAACACGCAGGTAGTATACACAGTGTCTATGCTGGACCAAAAAGGATGATTCCCATCCCAGACATGATGGAAATTTTACTACACTACTAAGAATGTCAGGCAATTTAAAACTTAATGTTTCTAGAATTCTTTCATTGAATGTTTTTGGAAGGTGCTTGACTGCAGGTAACTGAAACAATAGAAAGTAAATCCTCATATGGGGAGTCTTCTGTTTTGTAGGCATTGTCAGTCACTGAGTCTCAACTACTCAGTTCTGCCTTAATGTTTAAGCAGCCTTAAGCAACAATATATAAATGAATAGATGTGGCTGTGTTCCCATAGAACTTTATATCAAAACAGGTATCAGGTAGGATTTGGCTATGGGGCTTTAGCTTGCTAGTGTCTAATTTAGGATATACCTACATTCCTAAATCTTAGACTTTTGAGTATTTTAGCTGAAGACCAGACGTGCTCAGAGGGGTCTCTTCATTCTTGGTGATCAAGAAATCCAGGTTTCTCATGTGTATTCATATTCATGCATGACCCTAGGTATCACATCAGTTCTGAACCCTACAACTAACAGCCTCTGCCATGCCTCAAAGAATCTTGCCTTCTCTTTACACAGCTCAGCCCTTTGCTAAGGAACTGGGATGAATTGCTTTGTAGGCTGCTCAGGAACCTTCTTTGTGTATCGCATCATCTCTACTATTCTCCCTTAAAAATTTCAGGTGTTTCAGTAGTCAGTCCAGAACTCTTACTTTGCACCTACTTAGCTGAGTGACACCAGTAATTAAATACATTTTGAATGCCATGGTCTCTATTTATTTTTCCCTTCTTTTGGCCAAAAAAAAAAAAAAAGTCCCTAGACAGAAGGTTAGAGCAGTTTTGGAAATTACTTAATTTGTTTTGCTCCTTTCAACAACTACAATTTTATCTATTATTCAGGGTCTAAAAATCGTTGCTTTGTGTAGTTTTTAGCACTATTTGGTACTTGTTACTCTGTTGTAGCTAAAAATGGAATTATGCCATTGCTTTTGAACATTTATGATTTTTCTTCAACATGTGATCTAGACTAAATATTCATTATCATATTTTCACTGCTTACATTTTTTATAAAGTTATTATAGACATTATAGAAATTAGGATGATAAGGCCAAAATTTTGATACAAAAGTTTAATATACAAAATATATACAGTTAATATACAAAAGATACACAGGGTGTATAATGAAGAGAAAGTATCCCAGTTACCCTTCTTCCCCGTCTATCAAGTTCAGTTACTTTTCTGTATCTTTTCAGAAATATTTCAGAACTTTTTAGATGGAGGTATATGTTGAAGAACACACAAACAAGTAATGTTTTAAAATAACTTACTCAAACTAATGAATGGTTTAGATTTTTTCATTATATTTTATTTTCCTTTTCATTCCTATTTCTAGTCTCCTTATTGATACAAGATGGCAACTTCATAATTTATCACAAATTTAGGAATTAATAGTGCAGACTGATTAGTCATATTTCAAAAAGTAGGAAATAAGATAGAAGAAAAAAATACAGAATTTAAGCTTCAAAAGAAATAAAACTATTGTATTGACCATTGATCTTTTGAAATGGTGAAAATATTATGACTTTATAATTTAATTATCATTTTATTCTTATTGAGCCCTTTATCCAAAGCAGAAGATACTCCTTTAAGAAGTTGTTAAAAAATAAAATGATCTTTGGTGAAGACTATATTGAAAATATTCTTTGTATGTTTCTCTATGCAGTTCATTAATGGTGCTAAGGAAATCTGCTTTGCTCTTCGAGCTGAAGGCTATTGGGCTGACTTTATCGACCCATCATCTGGTTTGGCAGTGAGTAATTAAATACATTTTGAATGCCATATCATGTGAAGTAAGATGATTTTTATTACAAAATTATTAAAAATGAAGACAGTTATTAATTTTTACCGTTATTAGCATAAAATTTGGTTTATATTAGTATATTTACTGTTTATAAACTGAAAATTAGAAATTAATATTGTCTGATTTCTTTAAGGAAGAAATGATTATTTTTAGAAGCAAAGAAAATATTTTTAACTATCCAGAGAAGTAACTTTTTGGAAATTGGTATTTAGAGTTATGCTTTGAAGACAATACTGACCCAAAATTGTGGTCTCATTTTAAATTCTTAATATTTCTTTCATTTACAAGTGGTGATAAAATCAGTTTTTTAATCTTAGGATATGTAGTGCTGTTTCTCAAAGTCAAAGATGTAATATAGACTAGAAATAGAAGTTTGATCTGGGCTTTAATTTTCTTATCTTGACAATGATGAAAGTGAATCAGCTGATTCTCAAAAGTTTATTTTATCTTTAAAGTTTGTATCTGATTCTAAGTAACATGAAATTTACTAAAAACATTCATATTTTCAGAATACACAGGTATTAGAGAAGCAGGTGTTAGGACAGTTTAGGTATCGCATATGACCTTTTTATTTTTTATTTGATTTTGTAAATATGTGGGGTATTAAAATGAATGTGTTCATATTTTCATAAAAAAATTATTGCTATAATTTATTTCTTCCTAATGAAAATATGATTTCATTTTTTATTTCCTCTAGTTTTTTGGACCATATACAAACAGCACTCTTTTTGAAACAGATGAACGTTACCGATATTTAGGATTTACTGTTGATGATCTTGGCTGCTGTAAAGTCATCCGTCATAGTCTCTGGGGTACCCATGTGGTTGTAGGAAGTATCTTCACTAATGCAACACCAGATAGCCATATTATGAAGAAACTAAGTGGAAACTAGCAATAATGTCATTTTATTTGCTGCTTTATTTGTTTGTTATTGATTGAAAAATATAAACTGTCAAAGACTACAATTTTGGAAATATACTTATTTCCAGGTATTTATTTCAATGTTTATGGATTTACAACACTGGCAAGTGATTTGGGATTTTAAGATTACAAATGTTAATTATTCATATTGTCATTGAGTATATGTGGAGCACTTCCACATTGTACAAATGTGGTAGTTAACACACGATCAGGGTATGATTGGTCTCTTATTATTAGTTCTCCCCTTTATTGAAAAAGCCTTAGTTTTAATTATTTTTTTCAAAAAAAATCATATATTTGGTTATTATGGCATGTGTTCTTTTATTGCAATATTTTAAAACTTAGTTCTTAAATGATTTTAAAGTAGCTACAGTTTAATTTTCAAGTTGTTTTTAATAATACAAATGAGAATTCTACATCCATTGTAGACTTTTCTAATTTTCTTTCTTCTTTATTTGTTAAGCATTCTCAAACTAATCTAAATATTACTTTGAAATAACATGGGAGGAAAAAGAATAAAGATAATACATCTTGATGTATAAAAAAACAAAAAGCATATGAATCTCATTCTTATACACACTTTAAAAAAAAAAATTCTTAACTCCTGAGTTGGGCCAGATAAATACATTGTATTTTCAGATAAAACTATGCCTCTGCTGCTGAATCACATTTCTTCAGCCTCGTTACTTTAGTGCCTTTGTGACAGAACTTGTTTTTACAGCATTATAAACTTTAAAGGAATCATCTTTAATTTGTAAGGCTTTGCCAATAGAAATAGACAAATCTCAGGGAAAAAACAATTTCTACCAACTGAAATAATTGAAATAAACTTTATATTTTTCTTTGTATTTTGTTTTTGTAATTAAATTTTTGTTTTTAAAAGGAGTACATGGAGACCACCAACTTTGATTTAAAACTCTTTGCTTAGTTAACTTGTAGCTTGATATAATAACTATTGCCTGCAATTGAAACAGTAAAAGTTACAAAGTTTGTATTCATTATGCGAAAAATGTGGTGGTTTCCATAACATTTTGAAAACAATTTATTAATGTGTGTATGTATATATACATGTATACATGCATATACACATGTATATGATAAGCTTTCATCTGTAACTAGCACCCAGTTAAAAACACCAAACATCAAGTGCTCCAGAGGATTATCCTGCTGCCTTCCAGGCATTTTACTTCTCCCAAAGATAACCTCTATTGCATAAATTGATTTTTATATCTGAACCCATATGTTTCCTTTTGTGTCTGGCTTCTTTTATTCAGACATCTGCTACATTGCACATTCTTTGTGCCATGGGTTGAAACTTGTTTTAACCATTCTAAAGTGCCATCTACTGGTTGAAATGATACTTACTCCTAGGTGGCCATAGCTATGTACTGTGTTGTATGGGGAAGAGACTGACTACATGGTGCTGAGGACTCCCTTTATTACCTTGACTTTCTAACAAGATTTCCAGAAACAAATAGCATGGTAAGCAGTAACTGCCAGTAATTTTTTTTTTCCTTGAAGTGTTATGGCAGGATTCAGGAAGGTAGAACTCTTGCTAGTGGTAATAATAGAAAGTGCTTAATTATTATGTACTCTGTAAGAAAAACACCTCAAGTATCAGGGTTTTTTATGATAATTTGATCAGGACTGTATAACAAAGAATTTGTAAATTATCCACTTAAACATTAATTCTCTACCTTTTAAAATAAGATTTAGACATTGAAATCGATATTAAACCTGTCAATGAAAAAAAATTAGAGGATTGTAAAATTTATTTTTATAGGAACTTGGGAATTTTGGTATGACAGTTAAATGTTGAAAAGGGGTCTTTCAGATAATCTGATCCACATCACTTAGATTTTAAAGAACAAAATTGGAAAACAATGTACAAAGGTCACATCTAGTGTTGAAACCCTACACCAGAACTGGGCTGTAATTCCATTATTTACATATATTTCCTTTCTATATTCTTCATGGTTATCAAGAATCTAGTAAGTATCCAATTAAAAATACCAAAGAGGCAGAATATAAGCTGAAAAAACTTCAGTGTTAACTAATACTGGCTGCTCTATATCTTTCACTTAGAAATTTATTTCATTGAACCCTGTTTGCTCTGAATTTCTTTGAAAATTTCTGAAACATTTATTTAAAAATTCAGTTATAGGACTGGGGATATAGCTCAGTTGGTAGAGTGCTTGCTTCGCATGCACAAGACCATGGGTTCAATCCCCAGCACCACAAAAAAAAAAAAAAAAAATATTCAATTATAGAATGTTACACTTCAAACAGAAGTTCTCTGGCTTCATATTTAAAAATGTCTTTCTTGATTTCCATCACTTATATTTGAACAAAATTCTGCTTGTAGTTCCAGTTCTGTTCTCTCTTCTCATGACTGGTTTCTTATTCCAAAGCAGGGTTTGTCCACCTCTGCACTATGTACATTCTGAGTCAGATAATTCTTTATTGTGAGGGTTTTATACATTGTAGTCTATTAAACAGAATTGTCTGAACTCTGCCCACTAGATACCAGTAGCAATACCTGATCATGACAAAAAATTTTCTGAAGTCAAGTTTAACCAGTTGTTCTGTATTTTATCTGACAACCCTACTCCCAATTGAGAAACACTGATTGAAGGCACCTTCTAACTCAGTGGTCTTCAACCTACATTTGTATATTAGGATCATCCAAGAAAGCATTTGATAATACTGATGATTCGGCCCCACTACCACAGATTGATTTCATTAGGTCCCTGAGGTCCAGGCATCAGCATTTTTAAAAGAATTTCCAAGTGCTTTATTATGCCATTAGGGTACTCTAAAACTCAGTGGAATAAAAAGGCATTAAAGAAATAAGAACAGGATATCAATATGAATTTTAAGGATTAAGGAAATATTTTTAGTAGGAGTGTCCTAATCAGACCCAAATCAATTAAAGAAAGGATTTGTTTGAGTCCCACTTCATGAACCCTTTTCTGCTACTGCACCCTCATCAGTCCTCCCTTATATTGAATAGTACTTTGTTGTATACTAGTATACAATTGTTTGGGGTTTTGATTTGGGTTTTTCTTAAATTTTGTCTCCCATACTTAGAAATTAGGAATCCCAATTTCCTACTGAAGAACAGCACTGAACATGAAACAGTAACTTTTATTCTCATCCTCTGATTACTAACCTGGGTATTTTAAACTTACATAGATTTTTGTCTGCCCTCCATTCTTTTTGTCAATAGGATATATGTAGACTGTTACTTCATTATCCAGTGGACTTAGATAAAGGCTTTGAGTGTTTGACTTCCAATTATACTGAAAATTACTATAATCACTTAAAAATGTGTTACTGCTATAGAAAGCAGATAAATGATTGCTTGACTGATAACAAAGGTGACATTGCAGTGCAGTGAGAAAAGGGTGATCTTTTTAAAATATCCTCCTGGGTCATTGAATATACATACAAGAAAAGAATATTTTTACTCTTACCTTGCACCATACACAAAAATTACTTCCAAATGGATGGCTTAATGTAGATGTGAAAAGTTTAAAGCAATTAAGTAAAAAAACTTAGTGACCTTGGAGTAGACAAAACTTTTCTAATAACCAAATGAAGGGAAGGTTTTTACAGTAAAATTAAGCTTTTAATGCATCAAAGACTCATGAAGGTGAAGGCAACTAACAATTGGATATATAAACACATCCATCAACCCAGCAATATAAAATATCCAACAAAAACTCATTCAAGATATATCAAGAAGTCATAAAATTGGTGTTACAGTTTGGATGAGATGTCCCCCAAAAGCTCCTATTAATGCAAGAGTATCCACAGGTAAGATGATTAGATTATGAGAGTGGTGACCTGATTGGTTCCTCCTAGTTTGGATCCACTGGATGTAACTGTTGGCATGTGGGACAAGGCTGGAGGAAGTGGGTCACTTGGGATGTGCCCTGAAACCGGGGGAGGGCGGGATTTTGTTCTTCCTGTGCCCCCTCTGCCTGACCATGCATTGAGAAGCTTTCCTCCATTGTCATCTATCATGATGTGCTGCCTTACTTTGGGCCCAGAACAGTGGAATTGGTAGTCTATGAACTGAGACCTCTGAAGTCATGAGCCCCAAGTAAACTTTTCTAAGTTGTTCTTATTGCATATTTTAACATATTGACACAAAAGCTGACTAAAACAATTAAAAAAATAAAGCTTTATATATAAACATTGGCAAAAAATAACCCAAATGGCCAATGAATATTGGGTCATTGAATATACATACAGGGGAAGAATATACATGGGGTATATTCATTGGGTAAAAAATATACACTGCAGATACACACACACACACACACACACACACACATTGGGTTTATATACCCAAGTAGGTTCTCTACTTAAATCAGGTTGCAACTATGTACATCCACACAATATCATATCATACCATACCACTGCATGTTTCCCCCTACAGTGGGTGAAATGAAGAAGATAACAAGTGTTGGCAGAGATATGGAACATTTGCTATTATTGGGAGGATAGAATAGTAAAAACACTGGAAAACTGGAAGTTTTAAATCTTAATATATCATAGGGCTTAGCAATTCCACCGAGACAGAGACCCAGGAGAAATGGGTACAGAGGTTCCACCCAAAGGCATGTGTTCCTATAAACATCTATACCAGCACAATGTTAATAGCTGATGTAGGAAACTACTCAAATGCCCATTGAAATTAAAATGAACATATCAATTGTGGCATGTTCACATAGTGGAATGCTACATAATACTGAAAATAAATGCTTTATGACTACAACAAAATGGTAGAAGCTATTTAATATACAATAATGTGTAAAAGAAGCCAACACAAGAGTACATACTATACAATCCCGTTAATGTCAATCACAAAAATGAAAGTTCTGCTAGAAGTTTAGGATGGCATTTACCCTTGGGAGGGGAAAGATTTGGTTCTGGAATGTCTCTCAAAGGCCTGTGGTTAAAGGCTTGATCACCAACCTATGGCACTATTTGAAAGGGGTATAACCTTTAGAAGGTGGTGTAGTGGAAGGAAATCAGGTCATTGGGGGTGTGTCCTTAAAGTGGGTACTGGAATCCCAGCCCCTTGTTTCTTTGCTTCCTGGTTCCTTCCATAGGTAGACAGGTTTTCTCTGCTGCCCCCTCCTACCACCATACCACCATATGTCCAAAGCAATGGAGACAACTGATGGCAGATCGAAACCTCTGAAACTGAGCCAAAATAAACTACTTCCTTTTAAGTTGATTATTGCAGATATTTTTCACCTCAACAGAAAGATAATTAACACACTGGCTGGAAAGTAGTACTAACTTTTCCTTCTTGGAACAAAAATAGGCCAAGCAGGCAAGGTTGCAGTGCTATAATCTGCTTTGATCTTGTTCTCTATAAAACTTGAGGCTCTAATTGCTTCAATTTTGTGTTATATAGATTATATTTAAGTTACAAATTATATATACTAGTATGAAGATCTTGTGTCATTAAATTGTCACTTAAATGGATGCTAATTTAATAATACAAAAACAGGAACAATTTTTTAAAACTAGTTTGTACTCATTGCCTATGTTGCAACTGTATATGCCACTTTGCTACAAATTGAATTTTTAGGTTTTTATTAATAAAAAGCTATCCCTGTCACAGATATCTTGAGGAAGTGCCTGCCAAAACATGCAGTTTTGTTGCTAGAGTACTTGAGCACGATTCTTGTCACATAGATGATCAGTGATAGATGTTGTGAAATGCACACTGAGTGACTTAATGATGCTTCAAAACAGTTAATTCAGATTTACTGGGATCCACTGGGGCTTCGCCTTGGTACCCACTGAGATCCAACAACCTGGTGTAAGGAGATCTCTAGTTTCAGATTAGTTCAACATGTTTTATAATCATAGCATTATTTCATCAGCACAATTGGAACAGTATGAAATATGCTGCCTGTCTCCCAAATATTATGTGGTACATACTTACACTAAAAAAATTAGTTTTACCTGAAATACAAAATCATCTTACTCTATTTTATTTGCTAAATCTGTTGACCCTATGTGAATGACATTTGCTGCCAAAAAGTAGTTGTGGTTTTTTTGCACATAAGTATTATTTTTATTATTTTTTTGCAAATACCAATGAATTCCCTATTAATAGAGCTCTGTGCTACTTCCAGTCTTTGCTAGTATAAACAATGCCACATTGTACTATCTGTGTTTGTGACATTTCTTGGCTTCACCAATGTGT